CAGTTTAACCAAAATTTAGACTTAACCTTCAATACTGCAAAAAAGTAAATATTCCATAGCCATTCGTTCATCTTCAACTCCACATTATTAAGTCAATGACATTTTTATTTTTTGTGGATTTTATTACTTAATACATTTATGTAGAAAAATGTTATATTGTTTTAAAAAAAATTATGATAAGAAAGTAATTAACTAAAAAAATTATAATTTTAAGTATTTCACTAAAAGAACATCAATTATTTAATATAAAAATAAACATTTACTTATTATGAATTAAGTTTAACAAAATAAAAGAAGCGGCAGCTCAGGTGTGCCCAGGCTATGCCTCGCCAGTGGCAGACGAATTCACTTGCCTTTATGAAAAAATATTTCATCCGGACGTCCGCAAGTCCGGACGATCAACCACCGGCCAGCCGATGATGTGTATGGCGACGTAGCCGCCAATGATTGGTCATTCGGACGTGCGGTGTCCAGACGGAATATTTTCTCTACCTTTACGTGTTTGGTCTTGATTCTGGAAAATCCATTTTTAGTGTGTTCGGCTCTCCAAGAAAATTTTTTTATGTTTTAATCTCAATCAATATTTTTAAAAAACCCACAGCTTAGCGCTTAGGCACCATGTGCTCGGTCTTCTTAAGCGTGTGCCGATGCTTCAAGTCAGGCTCCACACATAACATCATCGTCGTCCAAATGAGATCAACGTAAGTACTTGATGCATTGTTGAAAACTTTAATATTAGTTAATAAACGAAATGATTTATTATTTTTATATGCTTACCGTCAAAATAAGCATCATGATAATAAAACTTTAAAGAGTCTAAAATCACTTGAGGGTCTGTTTGGGGTAGTTGCAGATGTTTGAATAAGCAGTTATTAAGCTGTTGAAGAAGAAATTACTTTTCAAAAAGCTGCAGTGGCCATTAAAAAAAAAGATTAAAAAAAATATGACTGCAGCTTTCTGGCAGCCACCGTAGCCTGGTGGAAAAGTAGTTTTCAACTGAAGCTTTTTGAAAACTCAAGTAAAACATAGTTTTGTCAAACAGAAAAAAACTGTGGTATGGCACCACAAAGTTACGTCATTGCCGCCCCAAATACACCCTAAATTTGATATCTTTAAAGATAATGAAATAGTATACGATCAATGGAATTAATGTGAGCTATTTGATAAAGTGTATAAGTGTCAGAAATTTTGGCTAAAATTATCAAATTATTACTCCAAAAAATTATAAAAAATGCTCGTTCAACATATGAAAGAGTCCTTAATATGACATGGAGAGCGCTTAAGGATATAAAGAGCTCGATAACTCTGATTTATATTAAATGCAAATGTTTGCCACTAATAATCACCATCATCAAATCACCTTAACTTAAACTTCTGTCTTTTGACAGTTATTTTCTAATGATCATTATATATCCACTATCTATAATTATTATCAACTATTCTCGTCCTATCAATGCCATCCTCTAATTTCAATAGCCCAATTGCCATCATCTTTAACACTTTACTATCATCACTTGACAATCGTCATATGACGACGATCGATTCTTAACCATTATTATTATCCTTTGCTATCATACTACAATCATAAGAGGTTATGTTATTGTTCTATTATACTTCACTATTTAATATAATCCAATTTAAGAGAAAAGTATATTTCTATAACCTCTTTGGTATTGTAGATGTTTCAACTATATCCAGACTAGTGTTTATTTTATCTTTCTATGATTTCATGTAAACACCCTACTTTTTTGTGAATTTTGTTTGTCTATACTCGTGCGAGACTTTCGTATAAAACTAAGACGTGCGACTATTCCTCTACCACCACTTACATTCAATCATTCACTTCTCTTGTACTGGATTTAGCCATTCAACTTCCAAGCACAATGCCTGGCTATAATGAAGCACTTAACACTAAGTATTTATATTGCATAAGATATGAGAAATA